ACTTAGGGACTCCTAACTACTCCCCTCTCTTCGTGGCCATTTTTCTATCCAGTGTAACTTGATAGCTCGCTACACTGGGATATGATTGATTGTTTCTCCAAGAGATGGAAATAAAAGTGAATGGGCAAAAAAAAAAAAAAACTGTAGCTGCTTTTACCAGACTCTGACGTGACATCAGTCCAACGTTGAACATGGATTCAAACAGAAAGAAAGCCAACCACCAATTAGACCGGAAACCTCAAACTCATTCTGTCATACACCCATTCATCGCTCTGTTGCTGCCTGTGTCCGATGCTAAATGTCGTCCTTAGCAAAGTTAATTCAGAAAGAAAAACATGGCTGGTTTCAACTAACTCGGTTCATTAATCCCGAAGAAGCTGAGGGAGAATGAGAACCGGACTGTTCTATTCCCATCTTTTTTTTTTGGTCTCTGTGCGTCATTGCACAGGAAAAAGAGCTGAGTGAGACAAGAGTAAGAGTGAACATGTCTGTGAGTGTCAGTGGGTTTATTTTCTATCTAATGGGCGCTGGCTGAAAACAGGAGAAAACAACTCAGGATGTCAAAAAAACAAAAACAAGAAACACTGTGACACTTGATTAACAACGTGCCAGTTTAATGAATAATCTAATTGGTTTTAATAAAAAAAATATTAAGTGCACAATTTTTAAAATTGTGTTTTTGAAATTTGCCTACAAAACTAAAGATGTGTGACATGATAATGCTCGTCTGTACCAGGACTGTTGTAGCTAATATTAGCTGAGGTGTCGCTAACAGAAACTTTGTAGCTAATATTAGCCGTGGTCTCTGAACCAGGACTCTTGTAGCTAATGTTAGCTGTGGTGTCTCTCGCAGGTACGTTGTAGCTAATATTAGCCGTGGTATCTGTACCAGGACTCTTGTAGCTAATAATAGCTCTGGTGTTTGTACCAGAACTGCTGTAACTATTGTTAGCTCTTCAGAGCAACAACGTTTTACATTGTGGAGCTATTATGTACTTGTGATGAGGAAACTCTCGTTTCACAATATTTTTACACAATCACAATAACTAACCATGAACTATCAAATGACCCAAGCATAGCCAAACATTTTTGTTCATTGATGTTGCTTAATGCGTTAGCTGCAAAGACACCACCTACTGGGCTGCAGTGTATGCACCAGTGTAACTGGTGTAGCAAAAATTAGAGAACTCTGAAGTATTATTACTAAGTATTATTGGTTATTAATTGAAGTGAATGTATTTCAGGCCTATAATTGATAATTTAATAATTGAAGTGAATGTATTTCAGGCCTAATATGTACACATTTTAGTTATGGGGTAGACAAAAGACTGTAAAATCATGGAAGTAACTCCACTTCCATGCGGCTATTGTACTGGCACATGCACATGTGCACACCAGTGACTTCTGCTGGTAGTGGCAGCCTCTCCTGCCAATGTCCTTGGCCCCTCATGTAAGGCTGTGGCCTCCTGAGAAGCTCATGATCAAGAAATGGAACAAGCACGTGCACTGATCCCACCATCTTGGCAGGCTGGTAATTAAATATCAGCTGTTGGCACCAAAGTACGTAAATGCTGCTTCCTGCCTGCGCTTCTGTCTATTTCACCCTCTCCAATCCCGACCTCCCCATTTTCACAGATACGGGGTAAGGGCGGTGGGGGTAGGGGGACTATGGGGTGAGCCTGCCAGGTCCCGTTTCTGGCACAGATATTATTAACCTCTTTTTCTGAAGAAGATCCAGATCTGACGTTCAGGCCCCTCGGCTTAACTGGCTTAATGTCTGATGCTTGTTTGGTTCCGTTAAGGGGAGAATAAAAGGAGGAGGAAAATAAGAACATAGCAGGAGGGAAGGGGAACAGATGTAATAAGTCAGGATGTGAGTCGTGTGGGTGGCGTGCAACAGAATGCGGGGGTAAAGAATAGGGGACAGGCTCATAAATAGCGAGGGGCTCATAATTCTGGGGATGTCAGAGGCCAAATGGATATTTTTCCACTGGCAGCGATAAGGCATGTGGGCAACACGCGGAGAGGGGCTTATTAAATTTCCCATAAAAAGCCTATCATTGTGTGGCAGAGCAGGAGTCGTCTGTTAACATGTCACTTTGTGGACGCACGCCTATTGTTCTGGTTCAGACACGTGCACTGCTGACACCGTTCCTGGTGTGGATTTATTAATAATGCTCCATCAAACATATTGGGTCATAATGGCGCGTTTATTGACACCTCGCTAATTTAACTGCACAATCAAGAGGTATTGTGCCGCCGTCTGCGGGTTTGATCACTGGCAGAGGACAAACATTAAAGGGGGAAATCAGACTGGGATCCAAAAGACTCTTTTCTTTTACCAATTCACTCGCACCTTAGATCAGGGGTCATCAACCATAACTGTCGGAGGGCCAGATTTTCAAATTGGAAAAAATAAAAATCAAATTTTTGTCTAACCCATTTGGGGTGGGACACTCAAATTGGTAAAAATAAAAATCATATTATTATTTGATGTTTACGATACTGCAGGCAAAAATTATAATATTGATAAAAAAATTATTTTAAGAGCAATGGTTTAATACCATAAGAAATTTCACTCTCCCCCTAAATCTTACTTTGTCCAAAGTAAGCACTGAATTTAGTGGCTACATGTAAGAGGTTAACTGGAGCGATTGCATCTCTTGAATCAAAAAAGTCTGTTGTTGACTGTGATGTGTGAAAATTGTTTTTTGCTTCACTAGTTTTTTACAACTCAGGTTGTTCACTGTCTTTGAATATACGCATCATCACACATTTCTACAAATTGTCTTTGACTATTCCTCTGCTTGTATAATGTGTCTTTCTTTCAGAGCTCCATACGTCACGGTCGCAGCAGGCTTTGGGCCCAGCCACTGCTGGCAGCAGCCTTAAAAATTGCACATCTTTCCTCGTATAAACAAAAACCTTTTAGGTTTTATATTTTGTATCTAAATTGTACAACATTCTCCATCAGCTCCACATCTCCAGCTCTTATCAGACCAGCAGGAAACCCACTAACTGTGGCTGTGTATATGAACCAGCCGGCACTTTAACCGATTCTGTGCTGCGACCGAAGCCGAGGAGGCTGCTGTCACAGGCAGGGAGGGATTTATCAATCACACAGACTCCGGCTGCTGCAGCTTTTCCTCACTTAGACCTCCAAGTTTTGTTTTTTTTTAAAGATGGAGAGAGATGTGTTGAAGAACAGAGGCGAGTAAATGTAGGAGAATATGTGGGAGAATATCTGGAGATAAGGTTGGCTGTGGTGGGTAATGATTGGAAGTCGGGGGGCTGGAGGGGTTGCGAGGGGGTAGCAAAGCACAGGAGCTGCAGAGGAAGGGGAAGAAGGATTGCAGCCGTGGGCACAATAAAAAAACAAAAAGAAACCGAAGGAGAAGAAAAGAGCCCGTCCCAGACAGCAATCATTAAAGAAGCATTTTCCGATGTGCAATTAATACAGCACACTGGCATTTTGAGACATAAGCCAATTAATGTGGGGTAGATGTAGTCAACATCTAATAATGATGCACGCCGGCTCCTGCTACAGATGTAGAACATCACATCGTTAATGCATCGAGTGCTACCCTGTGTCAACGGTGACGACAAGCGAGATCCAATTATTTATGTCTACATCTCGCTGTCTGCCTTATGCATATGCAGAGTGATTAATTAGAAAGAGCATCCAACACATATGGAACGGTGAGCATGTGTAGGCAAGGCACCGTACACAAGAGGCAAAATTAAAGAAACTCCAAAAGCGTTTGTCGCTGCTAATTAATTCATCTTTTCTCTTCTTCATCGACTCATCTTAACATATTTCGTGTCATTAATCATCGGCTCATCTTAACATATTTCGTGTCATTAAAGTCAAAAAGCATGTTCAGACAACGAGGACAACAACATCTGATCACAGACTAGTGCTCCAGCTGCTCTTACTGAACACTATCCACAGATGAGTCTCTGAATGATTTAAAAAAAAGGGAAATGCTCAGAAGCATTAATGATTATTTGCTAATGACAGACCTAACAAAACACCCTGCCACCGGTAAGTGCTTCTGTAATGAACTCCGCTCAACGCGGAGCGATCAATAAGCCCGTGCACGGTATCTTTTAAGCCTTAGAGACGTACATTAAGGACAGACTTTGCTGTTAAATTAATAAATGTAAGTAATAAAAGCACTTTTACAGAAAGTAAAAGACACCAGATTTTTTCTCTTAAATCAGTCAGAGGTGTTAGATTAGAATAAAAAAAAACCAAAATGTACTTCTTTGAATTGAATTACTACCTATATATATTGAGTAAAGTAGGAACAAATAAGCGAGCAGAACAGATTCACAGAAATGCTAAAATTATTAAAAATGGTTAAACACTAGAATACATTACTGGGAGTTAGGAAATAGGCAAAAATGTAGTACTGATAGCTAAATTAGCCAAACATGTTTAACGAGCAGCAGAGCTTTTTAAAAATAATAGCAAAAAAGGCTAACAGAAATAACATTTAGGAAAACTTTATAGTTAAACAGATTAGCTGTGCACACGTTCAAAAGACAGCTAGAGTTTCAGCTTCAGCAAAATAGGAGTACTGTATAGGAGAGGAGTGGAGTTCATTCTGGGTCGGCCAGCGAAGGTCGCCGGAAGCGGCGACTTTATCTATTCATTCACATGAAATGGTCTGAATCACAATGTAAAAAAGATTTCTAATTGGGCATTTATGAAACTGTTGACTGAGTCACATCCGTCCGCTCACACCACATTCTATCTTTTACTGCACACAGAACGCACCTCCAAAGAAAGTGGTACATAAATGCCTTCAAGGACGCGTTATGAAATGAAGCCGCTGCCTTTATGAGGTGGAGGTGAAAATAATTCATGACTAGCAGTTTAAGAAAAGCCACATATGCAACAGAATAAAGGCCGAGTCTCTGACAATGTCATGGCTGTGTGACGGCTCTCGGCAGCTCGTCTCCGGCTGCCTCTGTTTGGCTGACTTCCTGGCTACACGGCAACGTCCCTGCAACTGTGCAGGCCTCGCTGCTCGATTGACTACAGAATGGTGAATATGTATAGAGCCAAGTCTTGAATAATGTATTGGAATCAGATATCATACATTCAGTGTAGTGGCTGGGGCTCCAACTGTCACGCACAGTGGCTTCGTATTTGATGTGGATTCACACTCTCAGATATAGAAAAAAACTGTGATAATAATTCATAGTCATGGCAGCTGTGGGAGTTTTGTAGGGTCACCTGAATTCATACATTTGAAAATAAAACACTGGAGATAAAAGAGGCAGAGATGATTTCATTACAAGGCGGCACTGTACCTCTGTATGGCCAGAGTGACGTGAAGGAGGATGACCGTCGACCAACTGGAGCAGAGACGTCGTTTTTTCTTCAATGCGGTGTCTGAAAAGGGAAAGAAAGTACATATAAGGGTATTATCAGTCACAATACTAGGCTGGGATGGTCAAAATGTAAATCCACAGCTCGGAGATTCAAATAGCAGACTGGTTAAGGCAGAAATGTAGATATGTCTTCAAGAAAAGGACAATTACTTGAAGGCGGCAATTTATCATAAAGTGGATCAAGTCCTCACACTCAGCTTTTTCATCTTAAAGCAACATATTTCTATTCAGATTTGTGGAAATATCACATGCTTATATTTGTGTTGGTTGATTGTAGAATGTTTGGGCAAAATCTTATAAACAAAAAATATAATGTACAATTAACATGTAAGATTATACCTAAAATTTCAAAGAAAATCCTGCACATATCACATATGCCGCCATCTAGCAGCGTCAACTGGAATTACACTAGATTAACTGTAACGCATGAAACGTAAAAGGTTGGACGACAGTCTTTACCTTGTACCTGTTTTTGGCGGGCCGGATTAGAAAGCTCAGTGGGCGTTTGGCGGGCTGGATTAGAAAGCTCAGTGGGCTGTATCTGGCCCACGAGCCGTTTTTGCCCTTTTCTATTTTAGAGCAACTCATTATTATATTTTTATTTTCCTTGAGCTACTTGGTAAACACAGCTTTAGAAAACCTAGGGATTTTTAAGGAATGGTAGTAACATTAATTAAACATCAGAAAAGCTTAGTATTTTATTTATTTTTTATTTTTTAGGAAAATATTTTATTCCAAATGCTCACTTGAAGAATCCAGGGTGTAATCTAGAACCTTCTGCAGGGCACCACTGGACCAGTTTGCCCCCCCGACCCCCTTGCCCCCACAGCCAAGACATTCACAGGGCCTTAATAAATGATCTATGCTAAGGTTCCTTTGCAGGACTCCAATACTTTCACCGTTCTGTTCCAGATTCAGTTCCCTCGGACACGAGAACACACCTCCCTGCTCTCAGCTGCGTTTAGACACCAGAGACATGAATGATCACAGACACTTTTATTTCAGTTTTCCTTTGATTTTGCTCTATTCCAGCCTGAACCTTTAGAAGGTAACAACAGCTAAAATCCCAGCAGCTGCCTTCAAGCAATCACCGAGGAATCACCCGAGGAGAGCTGCAGGTTTAAAGTCCTAAATCCAAAAAGTGCTCCCCTAACCCCAGAGTCATGAACCTCTTATGTCTTTTTTAGCACCGCTCTCACTGTAACATGTTCCACTTGATGGATGGGATGTTCGTCTGGACTTCAGCCATTGGATATCACCACCAGACCTCTAAAGACCGACCGGTGCGCAGAATTTATTTTTATTTTCCATGTAGCCAAGGTGTCTGAACAAACTCTGCTTTGATTTTTCTCACTGGCTTCAGGGATTTTATGCAGCACGTGTTCCATCGACATGTAGACCAGCAGCATCAATTCGGTAAAGTAAACAGTTCTCGGGAAATCCTATTTTTATGTGTGACCGTAAGTAATTGAGCCGCAAGTTTGCAAGGGTCTTTCGCTGAGCCGTAGCTTAAGGTCTAACCTCAATCTGTCAGGTTTGTGCGGAATCCATCCCCATCTCCCTCTTCATCACACTCCATATACATACAGGTTAAAGCCCAAGGTGGTGCTGCTCTTTTATATATTATACAACTATTTGAGCTGGGAGCATATGAATTATTTACCAGCCTCATATGGTGCTGTAAGGGTTGAGCACACAGTATGGTATTAAGCTGAAACGGGATCTTCAAAAGGAAGAAAAAAGAAAAAAAAAAACTTTTAGTGGAAGAAACATTATTCCTTCTCATTAATCCTTAAATTCATAAGAAATAAAACTGCTTATGTCAACACACCCCTTGGTTTTACTGCTGCGGTTTCATTTGTCTAATAATATCTGGAACTGTCACACGGTGGGAGATGTGATTAGCCGCAAGGTCCCTGGTTTGATTCCCTGTCTTTTTGCATGGACTACAAATGTGGGTTTTCAACTGGTAAATCAGTTTCCTCCCACAGTCCCTGAACACACCGGGTTAGCCTAACTGAACACTCTAATATGGCCATACTGTAGGTGAGAACTCTAGTATATTGACTCTCTTTGGATGTAGCTTTATGGGAATGGGTACATCCTTGACATGTACTGTAGTACTGCATGACAAGTGGCCCACGATGTGGTTAACAGCTGGGATGTGGACCACTTATAATCTTCCTTCTATCTTAATATTCCCTTTTAGAGTCCTTTGTTCGGGGGCCGCTGGAAAACATGGCCACTAGAAATCTCACAGGTGTACTCAGAATGTAGGCTGCAAATATTTTCTGGCTGTTCGGCCCAACATCGAACAAATAAAAGGAACGCTTTATGTTTAATTCAGGATGTTGGTAAATGGTAAATGTAGAATCTTGGCCACCAAATGTGGGCCACAAGTGGCCGATTAACTTTCCAGTTGTTTGGCTGAACCATTTTTAATTCTCTAATACTATCTATTCTGGTTGTTTTCAAATGGTATCAGCATCTTCATCTCCACCCACGCCCCCATGCACCCTGATCTCCACATCTTTTCAAAGCTGTCTGTTACTCTGAATGGTTAACCATAGGGTTTAAAAGAAGAAGTCCAACTCGATTACCCCCCAATTTTTGTTATTTTATACGATAGAAAAATGCAGGAAAAACATGAATACAGAATCACTGCTGGCAGCCGCACACGTGAATTAGATAAAATAGACGGCTCCACAAAGGACTCAGTGCAAATTATCACATACACCACGCTGTGCACTAAACATTCAGGCAGCTCGGCTTCTCATGTGGAGCCGCCGCTGACCCCTGGTTAAACAGACAGCAGTTGCCAGCAGTAGATCATATCAACTTTCACTAATTAAAGTTATTTCCCTGAGTATCTTCACAACAGAAAATTAAAGTTGACTGGTGTCTGGCTGAAATGATCTCCCCCAGCCGATGCCTTCGTCCTGTCAAAGAATGTCTGTGTGGAGAGATTTACTGTGCACTCGCTGCATCCAGTCCGTTCCATGCCAGCTGACATTGGGTGAAAGACAGTGTACCATCCTGGATAGGTCATCGGCCCATCAGTGGGCTGACATTCAGAGAAACACAACCGGGCTCATAATCACAGCCATGGTTAATTAACCCAGACCCCTACGCTCTTTCTGGACTGTGCAGGATGAAGCCCAAATACTCAATGGACAGAATCCAAGTAGAAAGGTCAACTTTAGATCCCGCCTTGTAAAGTTCTGAAATAAGACAGGAACTAATGACACAGCACTAATTCAGCGCCCACGTAATAAAACGGGTCACTTTTATCATGTAGGTATCCTGATGTGTACTGCATCTCAGGTAAAGAAAATAGATGGCAAGACAACATCTTTTGGCAACATACAGTCGGTCTAATAAAAGTAGGTCATCAAAACAAAGCCAACATTCTAGACATCAAATGCGGGCCACTAAATGTGAGTCATTTGTATAAAGCAGAATGCTCCTGCCCATATTTGGAACAAGGTATTTAAATCTATTTTTTTTTCTAACAAAATAGATTAGCTTTGATTGTTTGACTGAGATGTGACCCATATACTGAACACCAGATTTGGGCCAGGAAAAAAAAAGGTTTATTACATTACAAGATGTGGGCTAAAGTATTTAGTCTGTGTGGCCAATCACTTTATCAGAACAACTCGGGATTGTTGACACATACAGATTATTGACAATGTGGGCCAAATAAATCAGATTCTATACATCATCAATATTGTTTGAGGGGAAAGTGATAATCTACCAGAGTCTGTACTAGCAACTGTGGTGATAAAAACGTTTACTTGGCCCACCTTCAGCTTTGAATCATTTAAAGACATTTTAGTTGAATATTCCTGTTTTCTCTGATGCACTAAAAAGACAACAGTGAGGTTAAAGTACAGAATTATAACAGTAATCATCGAGAAAAAGGGTCAGACGAGAGAAGTTTGTTTGTTTTTGAGGTTGTGTTTGTGTGTCAGAATTTGAAAGGTGAGGTTAAAAATAAGACTGTTAGGGGAAAAAAAATGCTGAAATGACCTTTATGGCAGGATCGTGAAGAATGCGTGATGATGGTGCATTTGTTAAGAGGTGCTTCAGCGTTGATTTGCTGACATCTCTGAGTGCTTTTTGATTTTTAGGGGAAGAGTGCAGGAAAATAAAAAAGAACTAACAGCTGCACTCAAAGGGTAAACATCACTTTTGGAAGTGGTGGACGCTGCCATGTGTCCCGGCATCTGTGGGAAAACACACTCTGTGTGATTACAGCTTTTCAAAACTCTCTAGACTTTGACTCTTAAGCTATTTAGCTTTGCATAAATGACTTACAGCCACACACAAGTACAGCGTGTGTGGTTGTTGTCGACCTAAGTATCTAATGATAGTTTACGCATGTGAATATTAAAGCTGATTTAACAGCAGCAGGGTGGGGTTGTGTAAATTTGAGGTAAGTGCCACCAGAGCCGATCATGAGACTTCATTTAAAAGCTCCATTTCCCTGGTTTATTTTGGTATATCCAACGAAGCCATCACTCACGTTTATGGAATGCTCAGAGTTTTATGGATCCAGATGGAGAATCCTGGAATAATTTTTCACTCCTTCAGTCAAGTCAATATAATTAAAACTTAAGGGATTCACCTCTGAATTAATTAATGTCATCATATCCCAGAATGCATTTTCCTTACTGGTATACTTTACATTCCCTGAGTAATATGAATGTAGACAATGTCTTTACTCTTTATCTCTGACCTTTACTCTTTAACTGCAAATTTATGTTAAAAATTTTGTTTTAGGTAACATTGGAATCTTTCTTTTGGAATTTATCATTTATTTTACAACAATCAGGTTTAATTTATCTTTATATATATATAAATAATATTATATTATATTGTTTTTCGTCATTTATTATCATAACTTTATCTTATCCTTAACACAAATTAGCTAATGTGGTACTTGTGGATTATTGGTTGGCTGATATTTATCAATCGGTCTGGAGTCTGATTTTATTT